GTTGATCGAGGAAGAATAAACTAGTTTTAACCAAGAAGGGACTTGTATCGCTGAAGTTTCTCGGAAAGAATTTTTACCGGTAATTATCAAACAAGCAGATACGTAACAATACTCATATTCTTAAATCGTGCCAGAAAAAAAACAATCGTATCCTTCACATCAATGAGTAAGTAAAAGAAATATGATATTTTGTTACTGGGTTTTATCGCTCTCTTTTTTTTTTAATTTAGGCCTGGTTTGAGAACCACTGAATTAGCCGATACCGATTTAGACGACTTTACCGTACGATAAACTGGCTTAACAGATTCTGACGATTATGAAGATAATTGATAACACGTATTTTAAAATTTAAATTTTTGTAATTATTATTGTTTGTACAGTTTTGTTCACATTGCATATAATTTCTGTTACCAGGGGTAAAAGATCCAGATTGTTTTCCATGCTCGAAATAATAGCGATCGCCAAACTTCAGTAGACCAAACTGGACACCAATAATACAGCCGAACGTTGGACCTACTATTCCTTTGTTTAGAGGGCGCTCGTTGACACCTCCCGAAAATAAATCGATGTCTTCAACTTTTCTGTAAATATAAGGATTCAAATAATGACCTTATCAGACACCTTCCTTTTAAAAAGATTAATAAAAAGTTCAAGAAAGCTACATAATAAATTGCTTTCCCTTGAAAATTATTACAATTGATTGAAGAGCATGTATGTAAGTCGCAATGGAAAACTTGTCTGAGAATATGATTTTATATTTAAATATATACAATTTTTCCTTAGCGCTCACATTTGAAACGTGCATTATTGTTTAACTAACTATGATATTGAGCCATAAAATTGGCCATGACCTTAACCGACTTCTAACCTTCGGAGTTATTACAAATGAAAACATAACAAAAAGATTAAAAACGCCATTTTTTTTTCTGTCACTGTCTGTGACAGTGGCTTTCAAACTTAACCTATAAAATTCATGAAAGTCTATCAACAAATAAAATACTGCTCTCTTTGCGCATGGAGCTAATAAGTTGTTGTGAGAATAGATACGTAAATAGAACGAATAGGCAGAATTACAAAAGAAATAAAACCTCGGACCTGTAACATTTTACTATTTTAACTTTTTTGCATGTTGTCATATGTCTTGAATCAGGAATTTACACCAAATCCCTTTTCTTTTGTTTTAAGCTGTATTTTTAATATTGTAATTTGTTTGCTAGCCAGAGAGAGTGGCGGGTTTTAATGATGACGTAACGATAGGCCTGGAAAATTATAATTTGATATCCGAAGCTAGATTATAAACACGAGATAGATGCGAAAATTGTAGTGAGATTTTTAAGAAGATAGTAGCGTGAATCAGTCAGTGACCTGTGATATTTTACTATTCTTACTTTCATATTTTCATTTTTATTGAACCAGGAAGTTACACCAAATTCCTTTCTGTGAATTCTCCTCAGATTCTAACTTCTGATTCTCTTTCCTACAGCACAACAATGGTATAATTGTGGAAGGCCACTTGAAATTTGGTCACAGTAATTAAATAATTACTCAATAACGATGACATTTTAAAGGGATAAATGTTTTTCATATGAGTTTTCACCAAAGGCGTCGCTAGGCACTGGCATAAGGGGCCTGTGCCTCGATTGTACTTGACAGTGCCCCGAATCTCCAGTTGGAGACTAAAAATCAAAATAGAAAACCATGTTCGATATCACACTGAAACGCCGAAAATTCCCTCGCCTTTGGGCCCGAACTCCGAATCTTTTAAGCACATAGCGACACCTTTGGTTTTCACATTTCCTCCACGATAGATTCGGTGCTATGCTTAGTACACACTGATTTCACGTAGTTTGAGTTATCACACTTCTAGAGCAAAGAAACGGTGTTAGAGTTATTAGCTACTAAGTTGTCACACCTTCTCCAGCACAGCCACAGGTTTAGGCTTATAACATACTGATTTATGTAGTTTGAACTGCCACACTTCCTTCAGCGTACAAATGATGTTAGGGTTATTTCTTAGTTTCACTTGGTTTACAGATAGTATATAAATCCATAAAATATAAATATCATAAGTCCACTGTGTTCAACAATTGCTACTGAATTAAGTTCGATTTATGAGAAGACATTGGTAAATGCGTTTGTTTAATAATGAAAGCGCATTATGAATTTACTATTTTAATGTCCCGAAATACAGGAATTGAAAGGAATAACTCTCTTTAACAAAATAGGCTCTTCTTCCTTTCAATACATTGCGTGACAAAAAGTATTGAAACACCACACCTCTTAATATATATGATTTTGTCCTTCAATATATTCACATGTTAATATCATAGTATCAGCTACACGAAAACAAGAAACTGCCACAGACAATCAACTGCATCAAAATTGTACAAGTAAAGGAATCTGCTTTCAGAGAGTAATGGTTATTAATATAGCATGGGTGGTGAAAATGTTACAGATTTTACCGTATGTCCACTCATACCCAACCCCACTATTGTGTTATGCTAATATGACATATTAATCAGCCGTTTATTGTGTCATATAGAAGAGTGGGAAAAAATAATTTATCACATGACTTACTGGAATGGGACTTTCCTATTGAACGTTTATTCCATAGTAATTTTTGTTTTATACACGTCGTGAAATCAATTACGTAATTGAAAATGATTGAACGGGACCAGATGCGACCTGTCAACCGCCAACTGATATACCTCTTTAGTTAACTACAATTTGATATAATTCCACAAATACGTGGAATATCAAAATAAAAATAAATCTGAAATATAGAGAGCAGGCTTATCAAAAACTGAAGAATGTGTAAGATTAGCTAATTATTTAAAATAATAAAATTATCCGTGTTTATATGCGTGGAAAACTTTTAACATTTCATGGAATATCAAGGAAAATGATGATAAGAGATGTAAAGTAGGATTATTAAAAAAATACAACAATTTGTAGGATTATCCTTGTTATAACACATAAATTAAGTAGAGAAAGGGGCTCTGTGTGACAACATAGTGAGCATGTTTCGGTCATAGTGTCAAGGAAACACTGTTCCACGATTCCTTTCTAGAGATAAATGTGACAAGGCTTTTAACGTCATTAAGCTATGCAAAAATGAAACTAGAAATAGCTATAATTTCGCAGTCATTGAGACGCCCCGCACAGCCATCAGATTCGTTCAGAACTGTACGTACCTAACTTCTTATCCAAATAGTCTAGGCTGGTTACTTAACTGTTTTAATTACTTTAAATAAACAGCATTGCCTTTACATTTTATATACTTTGTGCGTTCAAATACAAAATATCATCACCAATAAAATGCTTCATACGCCAAACACAAATTTTCCTCCTAGTTATTATTATCAGACAGAGAGAAGTTTTTCGTGACAACAAAGTGAGTATGCTTCAGATACAGTGATAAGGAAACAAACTGTTCCTCTCTAGAGATAAACTTGCGACAACTATACTGAAAATTTTAACAGAATCTTGTGAACAAATCCAGAAATACATCTCTAGTAAAAAAAACAATAACTTACTCGATTGTTTGAGTGACTTCTCCCGACTTTCTGCATCTAGATCTCATCCAAATATGTGCATTTTAGCCTTTTTATGTTATAACAATGTTTTCTTCAGAACATATAAATATATACCACTAGGGAGCTGAACAACACAGGGCAGTCAACAAACATTTAAATTTAACTTACTCGTAAAGGTTCTCGAAATGGTTTTGTGCATCCTTCGTCATGGTAAGCTGTAGATGGTGGAACTTAGTCAAATGTTTGAGGAAACAGTATTCTAAATAATCCACGTAGCTACGTAAGCCGTGATCTCGCCCTCTTTGGATATTTAAAGCAGCTATGTCCAATCCGTGCTCTTCTCCTCGGCGCTTAAACAGGTGATTCGTAACACTATTGGAAAAAAATGTGTCAAATTCTTGACCTTTGTCTTTCATCAGACCCCTCAAAATTGAGTCTAGTTGCCCGTAATACAGTTCAAAAGGAAAGAAGAAATTATCTTGAAGTTCCATATTGCTTGAATTGTTAGACGAATATATCTGTGAAAAATTATTCTGAATTAGTGTATGGCCGAAACGAAAAGCTGCCGTCGAAAACTCGTTCAAGATGGTAGGGTCTTTTTCCTTCAAATAGGAAGTGTAACCAGAACTTAGTGGCTTTAGGTGGAATGTCAAATAAAATAGAGGACCAAGTACAACCGGCAGGAACTCGTTATAAGTGATCATTTGAAGCTGAGCACCAACAATCCGTCTGCAATGTAGATATGATAATCTTTGTTTAAAAAGAAAATACATAAAATCACTAACCTTTCATTTATGCTAAAAAATCAGACAACGAATCCAATGTTCATTTGGTAGCCATTTGGCATTTTTACTTCTGATACAAAACTATTTTACTGATATGAATTATCGGCACTTATATAATATTTAAAATCATAATAAATTATTAAAAACAACATTTACTATTTACACAATTAAAACTTTAATAAGTTTTAGTTGTGTAAATAGTAAACGCTGTTTATAATTATTTATTATAATATTTTACTGACTTAATTATATCTGGGTAGTTGTGATCAATAGACGTGACAGATACGTTCCCGAGGATGACTCATTGAATACCAATTTTTCATATAGTCTTTGCTTTAGCGTTTTGATGACTGACAACTGAAATATTTTTCTAAGTTAGTTTATTTTAATTTAATTAGGTGGCGTCTTCATGTTAAGTTTCTTTGACCAATAAACTACAAGTAACTGCATTATATGTCGTTTAGTGGTTGAGAAAAACGTAAAAACAATAATGGGATAAAAATAAATTGACACACACACACACACACCTTGCTTCCTGATACAGTGTCTCGTCATCCCACGAAGGGTTAAGTTGTTTCAACTGACGAGCCAGGCGGTTGTGTTGCCTTAGCCAGATGATGTGCATGGAGGTGAGTCCTGGTTGCTGGTTAACCCTAATGTCACCTATACATACAATTCAACTCAAACTGTAATTGCTGAAAACGTACAAGCTTTTTGTGAACAAAAAAGCATATTAATTGGAACAAACTGTCAGAAGTCTTGATATTAGAGAAACTAGTTTAGACAGATTCGCGTGTTCTCTACGTTACACTACAGTCTACAGACTACAGTATCAAGTCGTCTTGTGGCAAGAAATTTGGTCTGCAATAATTATTTTATCAGTTTGTGATTATGGTGTTTTGATTTTACAAATATATTTTACTGTGGAACTGTGTAAAGTGTTTTCTTCTTTCGGCATAACTAAAAATATTTCTAACTGGCATTGTTAACCTAATCATAGTGTTACGACAGCTGAAGTCACATAACGCTGCTAGCGCAGGCGTGACTGAATTTCTCGAATTATCAGGGAACTCCTCGAGTTTTGTCGAAGCCTCTTTGTTAGTATATAAGCCCGGCGAGAAAAGCCAGCAGGATGAATGTATGATAAAACGAACAGTAGTCACGGTAAATCTCGGGTAATTTACGATTCTTTTCCGAGCTAGTGTGTGTTTTGCACTCGTAGAGAGCGATGTTATCGAGATTGTGAATCGCTGTGTTTTATAGCGTGTATTATAAAAGTTGTAAAGTTTAAAGTGACGAGAAACGTACTGAATGTGGAATTACTGTATACTAAAAGTTTGTATCG